AAAAAAATCAAAATATTAAAGAAAACTTCCTTTTCAACTCAAATAATTGATACATTGTGCCTGAATGAGAAAAAAATAATTTAAATGTTAAATATTTAAGGTAACTTCTCAACACGAATCATTGATACATTGTACTTGTTTGAGTACTCCCCAATGTTTTACAACAAATGGTTATATATAGAAAAAGATCAAAATATTAAAGAAAACTTCCTTATCATATCAAATCATTGATACATTGTGAAAGATAAAGAAAAAAATCAAAATATTAAAGAGAGCTTTCTTATCGAGTCAAATCATGTATGTCATAACCCAAATTTCGACTCCCATAATTATTTTAGATCTTTTTATAATTTTTTGTTTATTTTACTTAGTGTAGATTTTCCATGAACATTTATTTTATTATATTTATTTATTTAGTTATTATTATTATTATTATTGGGTTTTGTTTCATTTAATGTTTAAATTTTTAGTATTATCATAAATGCCAAAAAAAAGAGGAAGAAAAAAATAAATACAATAAAGATAGAGTTAATTTCTACTTACTTATGCAGACCTCAAAGCAGAAATATGTTCTGTCGGAGAGGATGTAAAACACACATGAATAGAAAGAAGTAGCCAGTATGTGCGTAAAACAGTGAAAACTTTCTTCTTCTTCATTTAAGATTGCTGTCGAATTCCTCTACTTCATTTAATAAGTTGCATTGAATTTGTTGTTGAATTCATTTAATATGTTGCGTAAAACAATGAAAACTTTCTATTTACCGTGCTATTTTTAGGTTCTTAATTCCTAGAATACTAATACTAGGTTCTTAATTCCTACAATACTAATACTAATTGAAGACTCCCAAAATCAATAACAACTCACATCCTCATAAATCATAAATAATTCAAAAATAAAAAAAAATTCAAATTTTCGAGAGTCCCAACGGATGTCGGATAATGACACTATCATCCGCACACCTCTTCTAATTTCATCCCTCTCGCATTTTAATTTCTTCGATCGAGTCCCTCGATTAGAGTATTTTAGTCATTCTTGTTCTAATTTCCAACAATCGACCCTCCTATTGTTCTTGATTGCTCCCCCTAAAAATTTAATATTTTCACACCGATCCAAGGAATTTTCAAGTTAATTACAATTAAAACCCCCTAATCTGAAACTAATTCTATCCTTTTTGTATTTATTTTTTTCTTCTTCTTCTTTTGTCTTTTATATTTATGATAATACTAAAAATTTAAACATTAAATGGAACAAAACCTCCACCACCACCACCATCACCACCACCACCACCACCACCACCACCTCCTCCTCCTCCTCCTCCTCCTACTAATAAATAAATAAATAAAATAAATGTTCATGAAAAATATACACTAAGTAAAATAAAAAAAATAAATAAAAGGTCTAAAATAATTATGGGAGTCGAAATCTAGGTTATGACACACATGATTTGACTTGATAAGAAAGTTCTCTTTAGTATTGATTTGATATGATAGGGAAATTTTCTTTAATATTTTGATTTTTTTCTATATATAACCGTTTTTTTTTTTTGTAAAACATTAGCCATAAAAAATGGAGTACTCAAACAAGTACAATGTATCAATGATTTGAGTTGATAAAGAAGTTTTCTTTAATATTTTGATTTTTTTCCTTTTTAGGCACTATATATATATATATATATATAGTCTTTCCTTGCAAAACATTAAGCATAAAAAATGGAAGTACTCAAACAAGTACAATAGTTTCATAAGCTTCTTATTTGCTCAATCTTTGCTCGCTTTGTGCCCTTATCGGAAGTTCCATGCCTCGACCACTCGCCTTAGGGGTTGCCTAGGAATTTAGTTCATTATTTTAGGTAAGATTGTCTACCGACCACTTCTTATTTCTAGGTAGAGTTGCCAAATTTTGTTTGTTGTTTTAGAAAATACCGCCTAGCAATCACTTCTCATTTTCGAGCGGGGTTATCAAATTTGGTTCATTGTTTTAGACAAGGTTGTTTAGCAATCACTTTATATCTCTAAACGGGGTTGCTAAATTTAGTTCATTATTTTAGGCAAGGTTGTCTAGCATCACTTTTCATTCCGAGACGAGTTATCAAATTTGGTTCATTGTTTTAGGAAGGGTTGCTAGCAATCACTTCTTATTCCCAAGCGAGTCGTCAAATTTGATTCATTGTTTTAGGCGGGATTGCCAAATTTAGTTCATTATTTTAGGTGAGGTTCCTTAGCAATCACTCATCAATTTTGAGCAAGATTGCCAAATTTAGTTTATTGTTTTAGATAGAGATTCCTAGCAATCACTTCTCATTTTCAAACGAGTTGTCAAATTTACTTCATTGTTTTAGGCAAGGTTGCCTTGAAATCGGTTCTCATTTTTAGGGAGTGTTGCCCAATTTAGTCCATTGCTTAGGTAGGGTTGCCTAATGATTTTCTCATTTCTAGGCGGAATTGCTTAATTTAGTTCATTACTTCAAGCAAAGTTGCTTAGTGATCGTTTCTCATTTTTAGACAAGGTTGTCTAACTTAGTTCATTGCTTAGGCAAGATTGTTTAGTGATTATCTCTCATTTTGGGCATGATTGCCTACCCAATTCATTGTTTTAGGAAAAGTTGTCTAATGACCGTTGCATTTTATTTTCGGGATAGCTCTCTGTGATAACTATGCTATTGTATTTTATTTTAATTTTTCAGACATGCCGTCTTTGCCAAAAAGACCATTTCGTTTTACTTTTCATGGCAAGCTACCTTTGATAATAAGGTCGCTGCATTACATTTCAATTCCACAAGCCAAACTATCCACGTCAAACAAAACCTTTTTATCAATAATTTCACTTTTATTTTGATCTTTACAAACTCACTAAACAAACCCACTCGAAGTTTGCACTTAGTTAGGATTAGCACTCGTGAGTATTGTAAATTAGGGACAACTATCATAACCTAAAGTTTGGGTTACACTTTTTCCCTTGATTTAATATTTTATTTTAGTTAATTCTTTTTTAAGTTATTATATTAGTTTTTCTTTATTCCTTCATTTCATCCTATATTTATTTTTAGCTATTCTATTTTATTTTTATTCATTTTATTTTAGTACTTATTATAAAAAAAAATTGAAAAGGAAAAATCAAAGAAAAAATAAAACAAAACTTAAAATAAAAATACATAAATTCCAAAAAATGAATGGATAAATCTAATCAAGGGGCATAATAGCATTAAATCAATTCAAAATTGAAAAAAAGAAAAGAAAAGAAAAAATAAGAAGGGGAAATGTTTCCCCAATTCAGAGCCTGGCTCAATGGGCCCAAAAGGCTCAATAATCCCATTTTCATCCTTTTGTTCTAGTGAATCATGCCTAAATTTATTTTTAATATATACTTTTATTTTTTGTGCCTAGTTTAAATTTAATCTTTTTAAATTGTTTTTTTATTTGTCTTTTCATTTAGTTAAAATGTTTAATTAGTTAGGTTTCTATGTAAAGATTTAGGCTATATAATCAATTGGTAAACGAATTGTTGAGCCTCTTAATTTTTAAGGACTAATGACGATTCCTCAACAATAATCAATAATTCAAAAAAAAAAAAATAAATAAAAAATAAAGATAAAGGAAAAAGAATGAAAAATTATTAGGCAAGAATTTTTTTTTCAAAAAAAGAGAAAATGCTAGGAAAAATAAAACTAAAAAATAGAAAATGTTAAGAAAATTTGCAAAGTCTCTTATCTAATATGGATTATTGTTAGCCAAAAAAACATTTTAGTAATTTGGTCGTTTTTCGACATATCGGTTATGTCGAGACTTAAAATGGGTCCGATGTTTGAACCGACGTCTCTTGATGAAGGGGTCCGATGATTGATTCAACATGAAGCCAAAAACAAAAACAAAAAACTTAATATGGCCTAGAAAATAAAAAACTTGTAGTTCGAATTAAAAATAATTTGGCACAAATAAAACACATTAGGAGATAAATTCTAGGACTAAGGTAGACATGATACCTTTGTTAGGAAAACACACTTTTGGGTGATCGATATTTTTTCAAAAGTGTAACCAACTTCTTATCCTAAAATCTCCGGACTAGTGTTCTTTTTAGGTTTTTTAGTTCCTACAATACCGTGTGGCGAATCCCAAAATCAATAATAACTCATATCATCGAAATCATAAATAATTCAAAAATAAACAAAATTCAAATTTTTAGGAGTCCCGTCGGAGGTCGGATAATGACACCGTTATCCACACACATCTTCCAATTTCATCCTTCTATTTTAATTTCTTTAATTGGGTCCCTCGATTAGAGTATTTTGGTCCTTCTTGTTCTAATTTCCAACAATTGGGCCTTCTCTTATTATTGTTTGCGGCTCCTAAAAATTTAATATTCTCACATTGATCCACAAAATTTTCAAATTAATTACAATTCAAACCCCCTAATCCGAAACTAATTCTATCTTTTTTGTATTTATTTTTTTCTTCCTCTTTTTTTGTTTTTGGTATTTATGATAATACTAAAAATTTAAACATTAAATGAAACAAAACCTTATAATAATAATAATAGTAAATAAATAAAATAACTGTTCATGGAAAATCTATACTTAGTAAAATAAAAAAATCATAAAAAGATTTAAAATAATTATTGCAGTCGTTATGACATACAAGATGTGACTTGATAAGAAAGTTCTCTTTAATATTTTGATTTTTTTCTTGATCCGGCGCAATGTATCAATTATTTGAAACGATAAGGAAGTTTTCTTTAATATTTTGATCTTTTTCAATATATAACTGTTTCTTGTAAAACGTTAGGGAGTACTCAAACAAGTCAATGTATCAACGATTTGAGTTGAGAAGTTACCTTAAATATTTAATATTTAGATTTTCAGGCATCAATGTATCAATAAATTTGAGTTGATAAGGAACTTTTCTTGAATATTTTGATTTTGTTCTTTTTTAGGCACAATACGGATATGTGTGTGTGTGTCTATATATATAGTCTTCCCTGTAAAACATGCATTAAGCATAAAAAAATGGAGTACTCAAACAAGTACAACAGTTTCATAAGCTTCCTAGTTGCTATATCTTTGCTGCTGTGTGCCCTTACAGGAAGTTCCATGGCTCGACCACTGCCTCAGGGGAAGTTTTCAAGATTCCAAACCCACAGCACTTCTAAGGCAACCATTAGAACCGTTTGGTCAAAGCTTCCAAAAGCTACACCATTGTCACCATCTGCACCCTCTCCTATCATCAATTGATTTGATATGTCTTTAATTTCCACATTAGCATTGCCAGTGATATGGTGAGATGATATTTGTAATAAACAGGACACAATCAAATAAATATAACGAGTTATGAACTATGAGAGGATTGTTGAATTGTTTCTCTCTTTTTCAGTGTTGTCGGTTACGAATTTCTACTTGCTTTTGCAGACCTCAAAGCAGAAATATGTTCTGTTGGAGAGGATGTAAAACACATATGAATAGAAAGCAGTAGCCAGTATGTGCGTAAAACAATGAAAACTTTGTTCTTCTTTATTTAAGATTGCTGTCGAATTCCTCTTCTTCATTTAATAAGTTGCATTGAATTTTGTTGTTGAATTCTTCTTTTTCATTTAAGTTGTATTTAAGGTTGTTGTCGAATTTTGTATTATCGAAAATCTATCCAATTAAGTATATCATGGAATATAGGATCAATAACCTATAACTAAGTATGGGATGGCTGGTTTGAGGTGGAAAACTATTAGGAAACGAATCAAGTAGGAAAAATAGAATAGAAAAACAAAAATAATCACACAGCATAAAGATTTATACGATTTAGTAATTACACCAATTTTATGACTGCTAGAATTTTTTTTTATTTGGGATATATCAAGTGGCAGCAACGGACAACTAGAGTTATAATAAAACAAGTCTAATGTACAGGTCTATATATCTGATCCAATATTCTGTAAATCTTTCGAGGAATAGAGAGACCATGCATTGTCTGTGTAGCGTTATATGCTACAAGTCCTTATCCACACCGGTCTCTATGATTTAACAAAACTTCCACCATGGTTAAACTTAGTAAATGAACATCATAGCCAATAACTATGAAATTATAAGATTAGCACTGCTACAAGGAAACAATATAACACCCTAAATATTAGAGAATGGAGGTAAGCAGCAGCTTTTACGCTAGAAATTAAGATTTGAAACAATAATCCAATTAAATTAAGAAGACTAGTGCCCAAATCTTTTTTATTGTTTTATGAAGGAAAGATTTTTATTATCAATAAACAACCCAAACAGGAAATGTTCCAGCTATAGAGGAGTTATTTACAGCAGGAAAAAGGCTAATTATTGCTTTATTTGAGTTGGAGTGAAAAGGCATTGCTTGAGACTAATTTTTGTACTTCCTAAGATCTCAAAGTAGAAGCTTGCATGTTCCGAAAGGGGATGTAAAAAAATTATTTTGTCATTCCAGGATTCGTGCCTATGCTTTTTCTGGATATTTCTCTGACCAAACTTAGTTGACACTGTTTTTTGCCCCCGTTGATAATATAGAAATAGATTACAAAGTATTAGAGCTATGATTCATACTTAATTTAATATTTAAATCCTACTACCACACTCGAAAAAATTGTAAAGAGTTAGAAACTCTAAATTGAAAGATTTTTCTTCCTTCTAGCTCTTTGTCTATGTTTTTTTTTTTTAATCAAAGAATAAACTTGTATTTGGATTTTTAGTCATTATATTTATTCATTGAATTAGTGATGATAGAAGAGTTCTTACTCAGAAAATCCTTGTACTTAGTTAAGTTGAAGGTTTTATTGAATCTTTATGGTTCTAGTATGAATATGAGGTTTTCAAACAATTAATAGGATCTTAATATGAAAATTTCTATCGATCAATGATAAAGGTTTGGTAATGTTATTGCTGTTTGAAACTTGAATTCTAAAATAATGACAGCTAGAAATAAAAGGTTTGATATCCTTTGAGACAGATTCACGAGGATTTGGGTCTAGCTTTAAGGACATCATGATGTTGACAAATGTTAGAGAATATATTTTATTATTGTAAAATGAGATTGAAATTAAAAAAATATGGAGGAGGTGATAATGTTATTGCTGTTTGAAACTTGAATTCAAACATATATAGGATGGCAATCCTTAGGAATCTATCTGTATATACATTTGAAATACAGTTAACTTGTTGTACCAACTCTCCTATATATATATATATATATATATATATATATATTCTCTCATTCGTATAAAGATAATTATTGACTACAAAAACACTTTTATATGATATCAGAGGCTAAAAGACTTAATCAATCACCATTGTTTTTTCTCTCCTTCATGTCTCTCTTCCTTGCTTTTCCCGTTCAACATGTCTGACCCATCCCTTAATTCGCACCATCCCTCTCAAGTTCCACCAATGCCATTCGTCCGTAGCTCAAACAAGTTAGAATTTTATTTTTTTTTAAAAATAGAAAATGCTAGGGAAAAAGAAAAGAAAAGAAAATGGTAGGAAAAATAAAACGAAAAAATAAAAATTAATAAAGTCTCGTTATCTAAAAGGGACTTTTTTAACCAAAAAATTACTTTAGTAATTAGATCGTTTTTCAATATACCGATTATGTTAGATTTAAAGTGGATTTGATATCGGAATTGATGTGTCTCCCGACAAAAGGGTCAAATGGTTGATTCAATACGATGCCACAAACAAAAATAAAAACCTTAATTGGCTTAGGAAATAAAAAACTTGGAATTCGAATTGAAAATAATTTGATACAAATAAAACACATTAGGAGATAAATTTTAGGACTAAATTAGACATGAATTTTCTTAGGAAATGACATTTTTGAGTGATCGATATCTTTTTAAAAGTGCAACCAACTCCTTATATTAGAATCTCTAGAGCGAGTGTTATTTTTAGGTTCCTAATTCCTAAAGTACTAGCCGGTGACTCTCAAAATCAATAACAACTCACATCCCCGTAAATCATAAATAATTCAAAAATAAAAAAATTCAAATTTTTGAGAGTTCCATCGGATGTTAGATAATGACACCGTCATCCGCACACCTCTTCCAATTTCGTCCCTTTGAATTTTAATTTCTTCAATTGGGTCCCTCGATTAGAGTATTTGTCATTCTTGTTCTAATTTCCAACAATTGACCCTCTTATTGTTCTTGATTGCTCCCCTAAAAATTTAATATTTTCACATTGATCCATGACATTTTCAAATTAATTACAATTGAAACCCCCTAATCCGAAATTAATTCTATCCTTTTTGTATTTATTTATTTTTTTTTGTCTTTTATATTTATGATAATACTAAAAATTTAAACACTAGATGGAACAAAACCTCCTCCACGACTACCTCCTCCTCCTCCTCCTCCTCCTACTTCTCCTCCTCCTACTTCTAGTAATAAATAAATAAATAAAATAAATGTTCATGGAAAATATACACTAAATAAAATAAATTTTTTTATAAAAGATCTAAAATAATTATGAGAGTCGAAATCTAGGTTATGACACACATGATTTGACTGGATAAGAAAGTTCCCTTTAATATTGATTTGATATGATAAGGAAGTTTTGTTTAATATTTTGATATTTTTCTATATATAATCTTTTCTTGTAAAACATTAGCTATAAAAAAATGGAGTACTCAAATAAGTACAATGTATCAATGATTTGAGTTGATAAAGAAGTTTTCTTTAATATTTTGATTTTTTTCCTTTTTAGGCACAATATATATATAGTCTTTCCTTGCAAAACATTAAGCATAAAAAAATGGAAGTACTCAAACAAGTACAACAGTTTCATAAGCTTCCTTGTTGCTATATCTTTGTCGCTTTGTGCCCTTATAGGAAGTTCCATGTCTCGACCACTCGCCTCGGGGTTTGCCTACAAATTTAGTTCATTATTTTAGATAGGATTGCCTAGCAATCACTTCTCATTTCTAGGAAGGGTTGCCAAATTTCGTTCATTATTTTAGAAAAGGTTGCTTAGCAATTACTTCTCATTTTAAGGTAGAGTTGTCAAATTTGGTTCATTGTTTTACATAAGGTTGTTTGGCAATCACTTCTAATTTTCAGGTAGGGTTGCCAAATTTGTTCATTGTTTTAGGCAAGGTTGTCTAGCAATCACTTCTCATTATCGAGCGAGTTATCAAATTTGGTTCGTTGTTTTAGGAACGGTTGCTTAGCAATCACTTATCATTCCCATGTAGGGTCGCCAAATTTGGTTTACTATTTTATGCGGGGTTATCTAGCAATCACTTCTCATTTTTTGACAAGGTTGCCAAATTTAGTTTATTATCTTAGACAAGGTTCCTAGCAATCACTCCTTAATTCGGACAAGGTTGCCAAGTTTAGTTTATTGTTTTAGATAGAGATTCCTAGCAATCACTTCTCATTTTTAGGCAAGGTTGCCAAATGTACCTCATTGTTTTAGGAAAGGTTTCCTAGCAATCTCTTCTCATTTTCGAGCGGTGTTGCCCAATTTAATTCACCGCTTAGGTAGGGTTGCCTAACAATCTTCTCATTTCTAGGCGGAATTGCTTAATTTAGTTCATCGCTTCGGACAAAGTTGCTTAGTGATCGTTTCTCATTTTTAGATAGGGTCGTCTAACTTAGTTCATCGCTTAGGTAGGATTGTTTAGTGATCATCTCTCATTTCGGGCATGATTGCTTACCCAATTCATCATTTTAGGCAAAGTTGCCTAGTGATCACCGCATTTTATTTTCGGGATAGTTGTCTTTGATAACAAGGCCATTGTATTTTATTTTAATTTTTAAGAAAGATCATCTTTGACAACAAGACCATTGCATTTTACTTTTCATGGCAGTATCGCCTTGGTAATAAGGTCGTTGCATTACATTTCAATTCCACAAACCAAACTATCCACGTCAAACAAAACCTTTTTATTAATAATTTCACTTTTATTTTGATCTTTACAAACTCACTAAACAAACCCACTCGAAGTTCGCACTTCGGTTAGGATTTGCACTGTGAGTATTATAAATAAGGGACAACTATCATAACCTAAAGTTTAGGTTACACTATTTTCGTTAATTTTATATTTTATTTTAGTTAATTCTAATTTTTTAGTTATTATTTTAGTTTGTCCTTTATTCCTTCATTTCGTCCTATATTTATTTATAGCTATTCTATTTTATTTTAGTACTCATTATAAAAAAAAATTTGAAAAGGAAAAATCAAAGCAAAAATAAAACAAAACATAAAAAAATACATATATTCCAAAAAATGAATGGATAAATCTGATCAAGGGGCATAATTTCATTAAATCAATTCAAAATTAAAAAAAAAAAAGAAAAGAAAAGAAAAAGAGAGAGGGGGAAATGTTTCCCCAATCCGAGCCTAGCCTAATGGGCCTAAAAGGCTCGATCACCCCATTTTCATCCTTTTGTTCTAGTGAATCATGCCTAAATTTATTTTTAATACATGCTTTTATTTTTTGTGCCTAGTTTAAATTTAATCTCTTTAAATTGTTGTTTTATTCGTCTTTTCATTTAATTAAAATATTTAATTAGTTAGGTTTCCATGTAAATATTTAGGATATATAATTAATTTGTAAACGAATTATTGAGTCTCTAAATTTTTAGGGACCGATGACGATTCCTCAACAATAATCAATAATTCAAAAAAATAAATAAAAATAAAGATAAAGGAAAAAGAATGAAAAAATATTAGGAAAGAACTTTTTTCAAAAAAGAGAAAATGCTAGGAAAAATAAAACTAAAAAAAAAAAAAGAAGAAAAAGCTAAGAAAAATTAGCAAATTCTCTTATCTAGTAGGGACTCGTTGTTAGCCAAAAAATCATTTTAGTAATTTGGCCATTCTTCGATATATCGGTTATGTCGAGACTTAAAGTACATCCGATGTTTGAAGTCTCTTGATGAAAGGGTCCGACGATTGATTCAATATGAAGTTGAAAACAAAAAGAAAAGTCTCAATTTGGCTTAGAAAATAAAAAACTTGTAGTTCGAATTTAAAATAATTTGGTACAAATAAAACACAACATGAGAAAATTTTTAGGACCAAGGTAGATATGATACCTTTGTTAGAAAAGCACACTTTTGGATGATCGATATTTTTCTAAAAGTGTAACCAATTCTTTTCTCTAAAATCTCCGGACCGAGTGTTATTTTTAAATTCTTAGTTTCTACAATACTATGTGGCGAATTCCAAAATCAATAATAACTCACATCATCGAAATCATAAATAATTCAAAAATAAACAAAATTCAAATTTTCGGGAGTCTCGTCGGATGTCGGATAATGACACCGTTATCCGCACACATCTTCCAATTTCATCCTTCTATTTTAATTTCTTTAATTGGGTCCCTCGATTAGAGTATTTTGGTCCTTCTTGTTCTAATTTCCAACAATTGGGCCTTCTATTATTCTTGTTTGCGGCTCCTAAAAATTTAATATTCTCACATTGATCCACAAAAATTTCAAATTAATTACACTTAAAACCCCCTAATTCGAAACTAATTCTATCTTTTTTGTATTTATTTTTTTATTCCTCTTTTTTTTTTTTTTTGGTATTTATGATAATACTAAAAATTTAAACATTAAATGAAACAAAACATAATAATAATAATAGTAGTAGTAGTAGTAAATAAATAAAATAACTGTTCATGCAAAACTATACTAAGTAAAATAAAAAAAATCATAAAAAGATTTAAAATAATTATTGCAGTCGTTATGACATACAAGATGTGACTTGATAAGAAAGTTCTCTTTAATATTTTGATTTTTTTCTTGATCCGGCAAAATGTATCAATGATTTGAAACGATAAGGAAGTTTTCTTTAATATTTTGATCTTTTTCAATATATAACTCTTTCTTGTAAAACGTTAGGGAGTACTCAAACAAGTCAATGTATCAACGATTTGAGTTGAGAAGTTACCTTAAATATTTAATATTTAGATTTTCAGGCATCAATGTATCAATAAATTTGAGTTGATAAGGAACTTTTCTTGAATATTTTGATTTTGTTCTTTTTTAGGCACAATACGGATATGTGTGTGTATATATATATATAGTCTTCCCTGTAAAACATGCATTAAGCATAAAAAAATGGAGTACTCAAACAAGTACAACAGTTTCATAAGCTTCCTAGTTGCTATATCTTTGCTGCTTTGTGCCCTTACAGGAAGTTCCATGGCTCGACCACTGCCTCAGGGGAAGTTTTCAAGATTCCAAACCCACAGCACTTCTAAGGCAACCATTAGAACCGTTTGGTCAAAGCTTCCAAAAGCTACACCATTGCCACCATCTGCACCCTCTCCTATCATCAATTGATTTGATGTCTTTAATTTCCACATTAGCATTGCCAGTGATATGGTGAGATGATATTTGTAATAAACAGGACACAATCAAATAAATATAACGAGTTATGAACTATGAGAGGATTGTTGAATTGTTTCTCTTTTTTTCAGTGTTGTCGGTTACGAATTTCTACTTACTTGTGCAGACCTCAAAGCAGAAATATGTTCTGTTGGAGAGGATGTAAAACACATATGAATAGAAAGCAGTAGCCAGTATGTGCGTAAAACAATGAAAACTTTCTTTTCTTCATTTAAGATTGCTGTCGAATTCCTCTTCTTCATTTAATAAGTTGCATTGAATTTTGTTGTTGAATTCTTCTTTTTCATTTAAGTTGTTTTTAAGGTTGTTGTCGAATTTTGTATTATCGAAAAACTATCTAACTAAGTATGGGATGGCTGGTTTGAGGTGGAAAACTACTAGGAAACGAATCAAGTAGGAAAAATAGAGTAGAAAAAAAGAATAATCATGCAACATAAAGATTTACATGATTTAGTGATTATACCAATTCTATGATTGTACTAGAATTTTTTTTATTGTGGATATATCAAGTGGCAGCAACGGACAACTAGAGTTATAATAAAAAAAACTTAATGTATAGGTCTATATATCTAGTCAAATATTTTATAAACCTTTCAGAGAATAAATAGATTGTGGTCTGTGTAGTGTTATATATTGCAAGTCCTTATCCACACTAGTCTCAATAACTTAAAAAAACTTCCACCATGATTAAACTTAGTAAATGAAAAATCATAGCCAATAACTATGAAATTATAAGATTAGCAATGCTACGAGGAAACAATATAACACCCTAAATATTAGAGAATGGAGGTAAGCAGAAGCTTTTTCGCTAGAAATTAAGATTTGAAACAATAATCCAATTAAATTAAGAAGACTAGTGCCCAAATCTTTTTTATTGTTTTATGAAGGAAAGTTTTTTATTATCAATAAACAACCCAAACAGGAAATGTTCCAGCTATAGAGGAGTTATTTACAGCAGGAAAAAGGCTAATTATTGCTTTATTTGAGTTGGAGTGAAAAGACATTGCTTGAGACTAATTTTTGTGCTTCCTAAGATCTCAAAGTAGAAGCATGCATGTTCTGAAAGAGGATGTAAAAAAACTAATTTTTGTCATTCCAGGATTCGTGACTATGCTTTTTCTGGATATTTCTCTGCATAAGAAGCTCAACAATAGATAGTTGTTATAACAAAGAATTCATAAACGTTTTCTTTTGCCATAAAATATTCCCCAGCAATCTAGGAATTGTTTTTTTTTTTTTTTTATTTATCCGTAAAATACCACTTAGACGATGTCCATCAGTTGAGTGCCAACCACTAAATTTAGCTAGATAAGTATATTTAGAGCATTAAAATCTAAAAATTTTAGGAGCAAACTTAGTTGACACTATTTTTTGCCTCTATTGACAATATAGAAATAGATTACAAAGTATTTGAGCTATGATTCATACTTAACTTAATATTTAAATCATACTTAACCAAACTCGAAAAAATTGTAAAGAGTTAGAAACTCTAAATTGAAAGATTTTTCTTCCTAGCTTCTAGCTCTTTGTCTATGTGTTTTTTTTTTCTTTTAATCAAAGAATAAACCTGTCTTTAGATTTTTAGTCATTAAATTTATTCATTGAATAAGTGATGATACATGAGTTCTTACTCAGAAAATCTTTGTACTTAGTTAATTTGAAAGTTTTATTGAATCATTATGGTTCTTGTATGAAGATGAGGTTTTCAATCAATTTATAGGATCTTAATATGAAAATTTCTATCAATCAATGATAAAGGTTTGATAATGTTATTGCTGTTTGAAACTTGAATTCTAAAGTAATGACAGCTAGAAATAAAAGGTTTGATATCCTTTGAGACAGATTCACGAGGATTTGGTTCTAGCACTAAGGACATGTTGACGTTGACAAATGTTAGAGAATATATTTTATTATTGTAAAATGAGATTGATATTAAAAAAAAGTGGAGGAGGTGATAATGTTACTGCTGTTTGAAACTTGGATTCAAACATATATAGGATGGCAATCCTTAGGACTCTATCTGTACATATATATATATATATACATTCTCTCATACGTATAAAGATAATTATTGACTACAAAAACACTTCTATATCATATCAGAGCCCTGAAAGACTTAATCAATCACCATTGTTTTTTCTCTCCTTCATGTCTTTCTTCCTTCCTTTTCCCGTTCAACATGTCTGACCCATCCCTTACTCTTTCTTCTTAATTCGCACCATCCCTCTCAAGTTCCACCACTGCCATTCTTCTTAATCAATCACCATTGTTTTTTCTCTCCTTCATGTCTTTCTTCCTTCCTTTTCCCGTTCAACATGTCTGACCCATCCCTTACTCTTTCTTCTTAATTCGCACCATCCCTCTCAAGTTCCACCACTGCCATTCTTCCCTAGCTCAAACAAGTTATTTAACAGACTCCCTCCTACAAATTACCTACTCTAGCAAACTCAATTATATGCTCTCTTATGCGAACACAACTTAACTCATAATATTGATTGTTTTGTTGATCCTCCCATACCTCTACTTGGTGAAAACGTTTCAAGTCCTGCATATCTTGCTTGTTTTTAAAAAGGTCAGCTTATCTTAAGTTGGATTGCTTCTTCCCTCAGAGAACCTACTCTCCTTCAAATTATAGGTGCCAAGACAACCCAAGATGTTTGGTAGAAACTTATCAAAACATATGCTTCTGGCTCCGCTACTCAGATTTGCCAACTAAAAACTTCTATGCATCACCTTAATCGCATTAAACACTGGACCAAATAATTAAATTCTAAAAAACAAACTATACTAATAATTAAAATTAATAGCAAACAAATAGTAAATGGACTCTTAAAATTACCAAGTTTTAAACCTAGGCTAAGACAAACATGTGTGTATAAACTCTAAAAATTTCAGATTAAATAAAATTAAACACCCGACCAAATAATTATAAAGAAAACTAAAAGAACTGGGGTATTCGAACAGTGCTACTGTTCATTTACTGAACCTAGCTCTTTTGGGTTTTTTTTTTTCTAGGTTAAACAACAGCCACGGCCTGGGCCTTTAGTGATGTTCGCGCCAGCCTGGACCTGTACTTCTTTATATATATAATCATGAAATTAGTTATAAAAAATATAAAAATAAATCATTATTTTTTTTAGTTTTATATTCATTTTGAAAATGATATATATATATATATATATATCTATCTGATTATATTACTCTTATTGTTTAAAACTTATTTCTTCAATTATTTGTTTCTTATTAAAATTCTCATCAAATTAATTTTTTGATATAATTTTATTTTTTAATAATTTTTTTAATATATGAAGTTTGGAATAAAATTTTAGAACATCTCGTGTTTTATTTTAAAAATATATTATTATAATTAAATAATATGATATATTTTTTATGATTTTAGTTTGAATATATATATCTTGCTAAATTACTCTTATTGTTTAAAACTTATTTTTTCAATTATTTGTTTCTTCTAAATTCTCATCAAATTAATTTTTTGATATAATTTTATTTGTGAATAAATTTGATTTTTTAATATATAAATTTTGAAATTATATTATAGAACGTCGATGTTTTATTTTTTTAAAATATATTATTATAATTTATATAATAAATTAATTTTATGCTTTTTAAATGAGTGTTTAATTTTTTAATATATATATATATATATATATATACACACACATAATACCAATTATTTGTTATTTATTTTTTCATATTCTATTTTTTTTAATAAAATAAGTTAAATAATGTTTTGAAAGCATCTCCCAATTATTCAAATACAAATTTTTATGCTAATACTATTAAATATTTTGTTAATAAATATATATAAATCAAACAATTTCACTCAATATAGATTCGATTTACATCAATCATTAGAAATAAAACTTTTATTCGCATTACATCATACGAATCATTAAGTCTACGTATGTAACGATTGTTGAACCGTAACGTAACGTGGAGATCTAACTAGTTAAATTCTAAAAATAGACTACACTAATAATTAAAATAAATGGTAGAATAATAAATAAATAGCAAATAAATAGTGAATGGACTCCTGAAATTAAAAAAATTTAAAACTAGGCTAAGGACGAACATTTGTATAAATCCTAAAAATTCCATATTAAAATAATTAAGGTAGACATCTGAAATGAATAAAAACCAAAACTAATCCTAGGATTAAAAATCTATCAGTTTGACCATCAAATTCATCCACATTAGGGATCACATTGCAAAAATCCGATAATTGTGAGGAAAATAATTTAAAAAACTAGGCTTCCTCCCGCTTTGAAGCAAAAGAAGCAGACTTCATCAATGACTGAAACATGAAAAAAATTGTACCCCCATCGATTTTTGATTTTTGTGAGTTTTAGCCTCTAAAATTTCATTTTCTCCCTCATGTACCTATGATGTTTAAGCCAAAAACTAGGATGAGTTTTTTAGACATAGAAAGAGAACGAACAAAAATGGACAGTGCACAAAGAGAACGGACAGAAATCAAGGGATGCAGGGCAAGGACTTGGTGTGAGGGAGAGGAAGGATAAGGTACGGGGCCAGATGGAGGAAGAGAGATGGTCTCAGGAAAAAAAAAAAAAAAAGAAGAAAACACACCCTGTGCGTTAGCTTTTTTCCTCTATGTTTTTCAGCAAAGAAGAAAGAGGAACAGTTGTCACAGGATACTTAAATTAGGAAAAGCGGACGACAGGTCGTTCGAAACAAATGTTCAAATAGTCCTGTCTGTCGTAATCTAAATTTTGGATTACACTTTTTTTCCTTAATTAAAATTTTTATTTTAGTTAATTCTTATTTTTTCAGTTGTTATTTTAGTTTGTCTTTTATTCCTTCATTTCAGACTTTATTTATTTTTAGCTATTCTATTTTATTTTTATTCGTTTTATTTTAGAACTCGTTATAATGAAAGAAAAAAGGAAAATCAAAACAAAAATAAAACAAAAAAATAAAAATAAAAATACATAAATTGCAAAAAGTGGATGGATAAATCTGATCAAGGAGCATAATTGTATTAAATCAATTCAAAATTGAAAGCTAATAGGGGTCAAATTGAATAAAAATAGGACGAAATTAAGGGTATAATTGAAAGGCAATTGAGGATACAATTGACAAATCCAGGCAGGGGGAGGACTGTTTCGTACTTTTACAATAGAACCAGTGAATGAACATTCACTGTTTCCTTCAACCAATTCCAGCAAATCGAAAACCAGAAATCCTGGTTTCGTAACCGTTTTGATCCCCAGCCCGCTCACCAGTCCTCCTTGGCTTGATTCGCAAGTTGTGCTGCAATAAATGGAAACGATGAGGATTTTGGAGGAGTGAAGAGAGAAAAGGGAATCGAGGGCAGAGAGTGAAAACAAGAGAAATCAAAAGGATTTTCGGTTCTGGGTTTTCCTGATTTTTCTGGGAAGTTCTTGAAGTTCTGGCTTTTCCACTTGAATTTCTGGGTTTTGGGGATGAACACCTGGGCTTTCCTTTGAATTTCTGGGTCTGGCGTTCAATTTTTTCTGGGTTTCACTTGAACTTTCTAGGTTTTTCTTTTGAACTTTCTGGGTTATTTTTTTTGAGTTTCAAGGCAGCCTGGGTTTCAATTTCTGGGGTTCCTAGAACATTTCGGGCTACCAATCATCCCTGCAAAGCCATCCATCTCATCTGCAAAGTCACCCTTTTCTGGGTTTTTGACAGTTTCAAACACTTGAAATTCTGGGCAAGAAACACAAGCCTTTCTGGGTTTATATCGCTCACGTCAATCCACAATCTCATTCCTAAGTCATGAAATTAACAACATCAAATCCCAAGCATTCGTCCATTTTCACAGTCAACTACAAGCCAACAACAACAACAACACCAGGATCTTCATACCTGCCATCCCATCCTTTCAATTTAATTCAGCTACCTTGAAATTCATCCCCTGTCCATTTTCATGTCATGTGTACCATGATCATCAAATTCAAATCACAAGAGATAAACATGGCTGTGGCAGTGTCACTGCCCTGTTGAGCCCCTGCTGCTCAACCCTATTAGCTAGTCAATAATAGAAAAAGAAGGAGGCCAAGTTATCGTTAATTGCAGAAACGATGAAAGTTTGTGGGTAGGATTTCTGGGCAAGAGGGAAGAAACAAGTTTTTTGAGAGAGAAAGGACAATCGGTCCGGAAAGAAAAGAAGGAAAAGCGGATAAGGAAAGAAAAAAGAAAGGAAAGAAAGCAGGAGAGAAAAGAGGATAGGGCTGGGTTCAGCCCTGGCTCGAAAAAGAGAAAGAAAAGAAAATGGGCTGGGTCTAGCCCATCCCGAAAAAAGGAGAACAAAATAAGACAAGCTAGAGTAAGCCCAGCCAAGGAAAAAAATGAAAAGAAAAAGAAGGGAGGGAAATGTTTCCCCAATCCAGGCCTGGCCCAATAGGCTGAAAAGGCCCAATCTTCCCGTTTTCAGCCTTTTGTTCCAGTGGATCATGCCTAAATTTATTTTTAATATATGTCTTTATTTTTTATGCCTAGTTTAAATTTAATTTCTTTAAATTATTTTTTTACTCGCTCATTGTTTTAATTAGTTAGGTTTCTATGTAAAGATTTGGGATAGATAATTAATTGATAAAGAATTTTATCAATCTCCTAATTTTTAAGGACTAGTGACAATTCGTCACAAATAATCAACGATATAAAAAAATATAGAGATAAAATAAAAAAAGGAAAAAATATTAGGAAAGAATTTTATTTTTAAAAAGAGAAAATGCTAGGAAAAATAAAACTAAAATAAAAAAATAGAAAATGCTAATAAAAATTAATAAAGTCTCTCATCTAATGAAGATTGTTGTTAATCAAAAAATTACTTCAACAATTAGGTCGTTCTCCGATATACTCGATGATGTCGAGATTTAAAATAGATCTAATATTTGAATTGATGTGTTTTCCGACAAAAAGATCCAATGATTAGTTCAATACAATGTCACAAATAAAAATAAAAAACTTAATTGGCTTAGGAAATAAAAAACTTGGAGTTCGAATTGAAAATAATTTGACACAAATGAAACATTTTAGGAGATAAATTTTAGGACTAAATTAGAGATGGTGCCTTTCTTAGGAAATGACATTTTTTGGTGATCGATACCTTCTCAAAAGTGCAACCAACTCCTTATCCTAGAATCTCTAGACTAGTACTATTTTTAGATTCTTAATTCCTACAATTATAGTGAGGAGTCCTAAAATCAATAACAATTCACATCCGCAGAAATCATAAATAATTCAAAAATAAAAAAATTTAAATTTTCAAGAGTCCCATCGGATGTCGGGTAATGACACTATCATCCGCACACCTCTTCCAATTTAATCCCTCTAAATTTTAATTTCTTCAATTGGGTCCCTCGATTAAAGTATTTTAGTCATTCTTGTTTTAATTTCCAACAATTGACCCTCCTATTGTTCTTGATTGCTCCCCTTAAAAATTTAATATTTTCACATTGATCCATGAAATTTTCAAGTTAATTACAATTAAAACCCCCTAATCTAAAATTAATTCTATCCTTTTTGTATTTATTTTCTTTCATTTTATTTTTTTGTCTTTTATATTTATGATAATACTAAAAATTTAAACATTACATGGAACAAAACCTCCTCCACCACCTCCTCCTATTACTAATAATAAATAAATAAATAAAATGTGAATGAAAAATATACAATAAATAAAATAAATTTCTTTTTTTATAAAAGATCTAAAATAATTATGGGTGTCGAAATTTGGGTTATGAGACACATGATTTGACTTGGTAAGAAAGTTCTCTTTAATATTTTGGTTTTTTTCTTTATTCGGCACAATGTATCAATGATTTGATATGATAAGGAAGTTTCTTTAATATTTCGATCTTTTTCTATATATAACAATTTCTTGTAAAACATTATCCATAAAAAAAAATGGAGTACTCAAATAAGTACAATGTATCAATGATTTGTGTTGAGAAGTTATCTTAAATATTTAATATTTAGACTTTTGTCCTTTTTAGGCACATATATATATATATATATATATATATATATATATATATATATATATATATATATATATATATTTTCCTTGTAAAAGATTAAGCATAAAAAAATGGAGTGCTCAAACAAGTACAACAGTTTCATAAGATTCCTAGTTGTTATATCTTTGTCGCTTTATGCCCTTATAGGAAGTTCCATGGCTCGACCACTACCTCGGGTGTTGCTTAGGAATTTAGTTCATTATTTTAGCTTGGGTTGCCTAGCAATTACTTCTCATTTTCAAGCGGTGGTTGCTAAATTTCGTTCATTGTTTTAGGAAAAGTTGCCTAGCAATCACTTCTCATTTTCGGATAGGGTTGTCAAAGGTTGGGTTGTCTAGCAATCACTTCACATTTTCAAGCAAGGTTGCTAAATTTAGTTCATTGTTTTAGACAAGATTGCTTAGCAATCACTTCTTATTTTCAGGCAAGATGACCAAATTTAGTTCATTGTTTTAGATAAGGTCTGTCTAGCAATCACTTCTCATTCCCAAGCGGTGGTTATCAAATTTGGTTCATTGTTTTAGGAAGGGTTGCATAGTAATCACTTCTCATTCTCAAGCAGGATTGCCAAATTTAGTTCATTTTTTTAGATAGAATTGCCTAGCAATCACTTCTTATTTCCAGGCAGAGTTGCCAATTTTAGTTCATTATTTTAATGCGAGGTTGCCTTGCAATCACTCCTTATTTTGGGGTAGGGTTGCCAAATTTAGCTCATTATTTTAGGTAGAGATTCATACCGATCACTTCTCATTTTTTAAGCAAGGTTGCCACATTTACCTCATTGTTTTAGGCAAGGTTGCCTAGCAATCAATTCTCATTTTTAGGCATTGTTGCCCAATTTAGTTCACTACTTAGGTAGGGTTGCCTAATGGTCTTCTCATTTTTAGGCGAATTGCCTAACTTAGTTCATTGCTTCAAGCAAAGTTGCCTTGTGATCATTTCTTATTTTTAGACGAGTTGTCTAACTTAGTTTATCGCTTAGGTAGGATTGTCTAGTGATCATCTCCGATTTTAGGCATGATTGCCTACCCAGTTCATCGTTTTAGGCGAAGTTGCCTAGCGACCATTGCATTTTATTTTCTAGATAACCATCTTTGACAAAAAAGCCTTTGTATTTTATTTTAATTTTTAAGACAAGTCATCTTTGACAACAAGACCATTGCATTTACTATTCATAGCAAGCCGCCTTTGATAACAAGGTCATTGTATTACATTTTAATTCCACATACCAAACTATCTACGTCAAACAAAACCTTTTTATCAATAATTTCACTTTTATTTTGGTCTTTACAAACTCACTAAACAAATCCACTATGAAGTTCACACTTCGAGTTAGGATTTGCACCGTGAGTATGGTAAATAAGGGATAACTATCATAACCTAAAATTTGGATTACACTTTTTTCAATGCCATTGTATTTTATTTTAATTTTCAAGACAGGTCATCTTTGATAACAAGACCATTGCATTTTACTGTTCATAGCAAGCCACATTTGATAACAAGGCATTACATTTCAATTCCACAAACCAAACTATCCATGTCGAAAAAACCTTTTTAGCAATAATTTCACTTTTATTTTGGTCTTTACAAACTCACTAAACAAATCTACTATGAAGTTCACACTTCAATTAGGATTTGCACCATGAGTATGGTAAATAAGGGATAGCTATCATAACCTAAAATTTCGATTACACTTTTTTCCCTTAATTTAATATTTTATTTTAGTTAATTCATATTTTTTTAGTTATTATTTTAGTTTGTCCTTTATTCCTTCATTTCATCCTATATTTATTTTTAGCTATTCTATTTTATTTTTAATCATTTTATTTTAGTACTAATTATAAAAAAAAATGAAAAGGAAAAATCAAAGAAAAATAAAACAAAACAGAAAAAAATACATAAATTCCAAAGAATGAATGGATAAATCTAATCAAGGGGCATAATTGCATTAAATCAATTCAAAATTGAAAAAAAGAAAAGAAAAGAAAAATAAAGAGAGGGAAATGTTTCCCAAATCCAAGCTTGGCCCAATGGGCCCAAAAGGCCCAATCCCCCCATTTTCAGCCTTTTGGTCTAGTGAATCGAGCCTAAATTTATTTTTAATATATGCTTTTATTTTTTATGCCTAGTTTAAATTTAATCTCTTTAAATTTTTGTTTTATTTGTTTATTCATTTAATTAAAATGTTTAATTAGTTAGGTTTCTATGTAAAGATTTAGGCTATATAATTAATTGGTAAACGAATTATCGAGTCCGATTATTTTTAGAGAATGATGTTGATTCCTCACAAATAAAAAATAATTCAAAAAAATTAAATAAAAATAGAGATAAAGGAAAAAGAATGAAAAAAATATTAGGCAAGAATTTTTTTTTAAAAAGAGAAAATACTAGGAAAAATAAAACTAGAAAATAGGAAACGCTAAGAAAAATTAACAAAGTCTCTTATCTAATAGCGATCGTTGTTAGCCAAAAAAATATTTTAATAATTAGGTCATTCTTCGACATATTGGTTATGTCAAGACTTAAAGTGGAGCTGATGTTTCAACTAACGTGTTTCTCGATGAAGGGATCCGACGATTGATTCAATACAAAGCCAAAAACAAAAATAAAAAACTTAATTTGGCCTACAAACTAAAAAACTTGGAGTTCGAATTGAAAATACTTTAGCATAAATAAAACATTTTAAGAGACAAATTTTATGACTAAGGTAGACATGATACCTTTGTTAGGAAATGACACTTTTGGGTGATTAATATCTTCCCAAAAGTATAACCAACTCCGGACCTTAGAATCTCCGGACTAGTGCTCGTTTATAGGTTCTTAGTTTTTACAATACTAGGTGACGAATCTCAAAATCAATAATAATTCACATCTTCAAAAATCATAGATAATTCAAAAATAACCTAAATTCAAATTTTCGGGAGTCCCGTCGGATGTCGAGTAATAACACTATTATCTCGCACACATCTTCCAATTTCTTCCTTTTGAATTTTAATTTTTTCAATTGGGTCCCTCCATTAGAGTGTTTTGGTCCTTCTTGTTCTAATTTCCAACAATTGACCCTTCTATTATTCTTGATTGCGCCCCTTAAAAATTTAATTTTCTCACATTGATCCACAAAATTTTCAAATTAATTACAATTAAAAACCCCTAATCCAAAATTAATTCTATCTTTTTTGTATTTACTTTTTTCTTCCTCTTTTTTTTCTTTTTTCGTATTTATGATAATACTAAAAATTTAAACATTAAATGAAATAGAACCTAATAATAATAATAATAATAAAAATAATAATAATAGTAAATAAATAAAATAAATGTTCATGGAAAATCTATACTAAGTAAAATAAAAAAAATTATAAAAAGATCTAAAATAATTATGGGAGTCGAAATTTGGGTTATGACATACATGATTTGACTTGATAAGAAAGTTCTCTTTAATATTTTGATTTTTTTCTTTATCCGGCACAATGTATCAAAGATTTGATATGATAAGGAAGTTTTCTTTAATATTTTGATATTTTCCTATATAAGACCGTTTCTTGTAAAACATTAGGGAGTGCTCAAACAAGTACAATGTATCAATGATTCGAGTTGAGAAGTTACCTTAAATATTTAACAGTTAGATTTTTTTTCTCAATCAGGGCACAACGTATCAATGATTTGAGTTGATAAGGAATTTTTTTTAATATTTTGATTTTTTTCTTTTTAGGCACAATACGGATTTATCATATGTGTGTATATATACATAGTCGTTCCCTGTAAAACATTCAGCACAGAAAAATGGAGTACTCAAACAAGTACAACAGTTTCATAAGCTTCCTATTTGCTATATCTTTGCTGCTTTGTGCTCTTACTGGAAGTTCCATGGCTCGACCGCTGCCTCAGGGGAAGTTTTCAAGATTCCGAACCCACAACACTTCGAAGGCAACCATTAGAACCGTTTGGTCAAAGCTTCCAAAAGCTACACCAGTGCCACCATCTGCACCCGCTCCTATCGGCGATTGATTTGATATGTCTTTAATTTCCATATTAGCATTGCCAATGATATGGTGAGATGATATTTGTAATAAACTGAACAAAAAAAAAAATAATAAATATAACGAGTTATGAACTATGAGAGGATTGTTGAATTGTTTTTCTCTCTTTCAGTGTTGTCGGTTACGAATTTCTACTTACTTGTGCAGACCTCAAAGCAGAACTATGTTCTGTTGGAGAGGATATAAAACACATATGAATAGAAAGCAGTAGCCAGTATGCGCGTAAAACAATGAAAACTTTCTTCTTCTTCATTCAAGATTGCTGTCGAATTCCTCTTCTTCATTTAATAAGTTGCATTGAATTTTGTTGTTGAATTCACTTAATATTTTGCGAAAATGAGTGAAAACTTTCTATTTACCAGTGCTATTTCAGGTTTTTAATTTCTACAATACTAGCTGGAGACTTCCAAAATTAATAACTCACATCCCGAGAAATCATAAATAGTTCAAAAATAAAAAAAATTCAAAATTTTGAGAGTTATCAAATAATGACACTCGTCATCTACACACCTCTTCCAATTTCATCCCTCTAAATTTTAATTTCTTCATTGGGTCCCTCGATTAGAGTATTTTAGTCATTCTTGTTCTAATTTCCAACAATTGATCCTCCTATTGTTCTTGATTGCTCCCCCTAAAAATTTAATATTTTCACATTGATCCATGACATTTTCAAATTAATTACAATTAAAACCCCTAATCTAAAATTAATTCTATCCTTTTTGTATTTATTTTCTTCTTCTTTTTTTTTTTTGTTTTTTGTCTTTTATATTTATGATAATACTAAAAATTTAAACATTAAACGGAACAAAACCTCCACCACCACCACCATCACCATCTCCTCCTCCTCCTACTAATAAATAAATAAATAAAATAAATGTTCATGGAAAATATACACTAAGTAAAAAAAAAAAAAGATCTAAAATAATTATGAGAGTAGAAATCTAGGTTATGACACACATGATTTGACTTGATAAGAAAGTTCTCTTTAATACTGATTTGATATAATAAGAAAGTTTTCTTTAATATTTTGATCTTTTACGTATATAACCGTTTTTTGTAAAACATTAGCCATAAAAAAAATGAAGTACTCAAGTAAGTACAATATATCAATGATTTTAGTTGATAAAGAAGTTTTCATAAATATTTTGATTTTTGTCCTTTTCGGGCACACGATATATATATATATATATAGTCTTTCCTTGCAAAACATTAAGCATAAAAAATGGAAGTACTCAAACAAGTAAACAAGTTTCATAAGCTTCTTATTTGCTATATCTTTGTTGCTATGTGCCCTTATAGGAAGTTCCGTGTCTTAATCACCGGCTTAGGGGTTGCTCGGGAACTTAGTTCATCATTTTAGGTAGGATTATATTGCTTAGCAATCACTTCTCGTTTTTAGATAAGGTTGCCAAATTTCGTTCATTGTTTTAGGAAAAGTTGTCTAGCAATCACTTCTCATTTTTAGGTAGGGTTGTCAAATTTGGTTCATTGTTTTAGGCATGGTTGTTTAGCAATCACTTTACGTTTTCAAGAAAGGTTGCCAAATTTAGTTCATTATTTTAGGTAAGGTTGTCTAAAAATCACTTCTCATTCTCACACGAGTTATCAAATTTGGTTCATTGTTTTAGGAAGGGTTGCCTAGCAATCACTTCTCATTGCCAAGTAGGGTCGTCAAATTTAGTTCATTGTTTTAGACAAGATTGTCAAATTTATTTTATTATTTTAGGTGAGGTTGCCTAGCAATCACTCCTCAATTCCGACTAGGGTTGCTAAATTTAGATCATTGTTTTGGATAGAGATTCCTAGCAATCACTTGCTCATTTCCGGGAAGGGTTACCAAATTTACCTTATTGTTTTAGGCAAGATTGCCTAACAATCACTTCTCATTTTTAGGCGAGTGTTTCCCAATTTAATTCACTTGCTAGCTTAGGTCGGGTTGCCTAATGATCTTCTTATTTTCGAGCGGAATTGCTTAATTTAGTTCATCGCTTCGGGCAAAGTTGCCTAGTGATCGTTTCTCATTTTTAAATAGGATTGTCTAACTTAGTTCATCGCTTAGGCATAATTGTTTAGTGATCATCTCTCATTTCGGGCATGATTGTCTACCGAGTTCATTGTTTTAGGAAAAAAATTACCTAGTGACCATTGTGTTTTATTTTCAAGATAGCTATCTTTGACAAGAAGGCCATTGTAGTTTATTTTAATTTTCAAGACAAGTCATCTTTGACAAGCAAGACCATTGCATTTTACTTTTCATGGTAAGTCGTCCTTGATAACAAGGTCGTCGCATTACATTTCAATTCCACAAACCAAACTATCCACGTCGGACAAAACCTTTTTATCAATAATTTCACTTTTATTTTGGTCTTTACAAACTCACTAAATAAACCCACTTTGAAGTTCGCACTTCGTTAGGATTTGTAATGTGAGTATTGTAAATAAGGGACAACTATCATAACCTAAAGTTTGGGTTACACTTTTTCGCTTGATTTAATATTTTATTTTAGTTAATTCTTTTTTTTAATTATTATTTTAGTTTGTCCTTTATTCCTTCATTTCATACTATATTTATTTTTATCTATTCTATTTTATTTTTATTCATTTTATTTTAGTATTCATTATAAAAAAAAGAAAAGGAAAAATCAAAGTAAAAATAAAACAAAACAGAAAAAAATACATAAATTCCAAAAAATGGATGGATAAATCTGATCAAGGAGCATAATTGCATTACATCAATTCAAAATTGAAAAAAAGAAAAAAAAAGAAAAAAGGGAGAGGGAAATGTTTCCCAGTCCGTGCTTGGCCTAATGGGCCTAAAAGGCTCAATCACACCATTTTCATCATTTTGTTCTAGTGAGTCTTGCCTAAATTTATTTTTAATATATGCTTTTATTTTTTGTGCCTAGTTCTAATTGAACCTCTTTAAATTGTTGTTTTATTCATCTATTCAATTAATTAAAATGTTTAATTAGTTAGGTTTCCATGTAAAGATTTAGGATATATAATCAATTGGTAAACGAATTGTTGATTCTCCTAATATTTAGGGACCGATGACAATTCTTCAACAATAATCAATAATTCAAAATAAATTAAAATAAAATAAAGATAAAGGAAAAAGAATGAAAAAAATATTAGGCAAGAATTTTTTTTTTCAAAAAAAGAGAAAATGCAAGGAAAAATAAAACTAAAAAAAGAAAATGCTAAGAAAAATTAGCAAAGTTTCTTATCTAATAGGGACTATTGCTAGCAAAAAAAAATCATTTTAGTAATTAAGTCATTCTTCGACATATCGGTTATATCGAGACTTAAAGTGGATCCGATATTTGAACTAATGTGTTTCTCGGCGAAGGGGTCCGACAATTGATTAAATATGAAGCCAAAAACAAAAATAAACTACTTAATTTGGCCTAGAAAACAAAAAACTTGTAGTTCGAATTGAAAATAATTTGGCATAAATAAAACACCTTAGGAGATAAATTTTAGTACTAAGGTAGACATGATACACCTTTTTAAGGAAATGATATTTTTAGGTGATTGATATTTTCTCAAAAGTATAACCAACTCCTTATCCTAGAATCTCTAGACCGAGTGCTATTTTTAGGTTTTTAGTTTCTACAATACTAGTGGTGAATCCCAAAATCAATAATAACTCACATATTTCTAAATCATAAATAATTCAAAAATAAAAAGAAATTTAAATTTTTGGGAGTCCCGTCGGATGTTGGATAATGACACCGTTATCCACACACATCTTCCAATCATCCTTCTATTTTAATTTTTTTAATTGGGTCCCTTGATTAGAGTATTTTTGTCCTTCTTGTTCTAATTTCCAACAATTGAGCCTTCTATTATTCTTGATTGCGCCCCCTAAAAATTTAATATTCTCGGATTGATCCACAAAATTTTTAAATTAATTACAATTAAAACCTTTAATCCGTAATTAATTCTATCTTTTTTGTATTTATTTTTGTCTTCCTTTTTTTTTTTTGTTTTTGGTAATTATGATAATACTAAAAATTTAAACATTAAATGAAACAAAAACTAATAATAATAATAATAAATAAATAAATAAAATAGCTGTTCATGGAAAGTCTATACTAAGTAAAATATAAAATAATTATAAAGAGATCTAAAATAATTAAAGGAGTCGAAATTTGGGTTAGGACATACAAGATTTGACTTGATAAGAAAGTTCTCTTTAATATTTTGATTTTTTTCTTGATCCGGCACAATGTATCAATGATTTGAAATGATAAGGAAGTTTTCTTTAATATTTTGATCTTTTTCAATATATAACTGTTGTAAAACGTTAGGGAGTACTCAAACAAGTACAATGTATCAATGATTTGAGTTGAGAAGTTACATTAATATTTAATAGAGGTTTTTTTTTTCTCGTTCAGGTACAATGTATCAACGATTTGAGTTGATAAGGAAGTTTTCTTTAATATTTCGATTTTTTTCTTTTTAAGGCACAATACGGATATATTTGTGTATATATATATAGTCTTCCCTGTAAAACATTAAGCATAAAAAAATGGAGTACTCAAACAAGTACAACAGTTTCATAAGCTTCCTGGTTGCTATATCTTTGCTGCTTTGTGCCCTTCCAGGAAGTTCCATGGCTCGACCACTGCCTCAGGGGAAGTTTTCAAGATTCCAAACCCACAACACTTCTAAGGCAACCATTAGAACCGTTTGGTCAAAGCTTCCAAAAGCTACACCAGTGCCACCATCTGCACCCGCTCCTATCGGCGATTGATTTGATATGTCTTTAATTTCCACATTGGCATTGCCAATGATATGGTTGGATGATATTTGTAATAAACTGAACACAATCAAATAAATATAACGAGCTATGAACTATGAGAGGATTGTCGAATTGTTTCTCTCTTTTTCAGTGTTGTCGGTTACGAATTTCTACTTACTTGTGCAGACCTCAAAGCAGAAATATGTTCTGTTGGAGAGGAT